TGGGTGAAGCCAATGTAATCACAAAGATCCTTAAAAATGGAAGAGAGGCTGGATGCAGCGGTTGACACCTATAATCCCAACACTTTGGGAGGCCAAGGCAGGCAGATCACTTGAGGTCAGGAGTTCAAGACCAGCCTGGCCAGCATGGTGAAACTCCGTCTTCACTAAAAATACAAAAAATCGCTATAAGCTGTAGGCTGGACTGTTCTGACTGGTCAGCTATGGGTGTCGGAGGGGGTCAGTCCCACCTGAAACATATGGTGGTAAGTTTCCTGAGGCCTCCCCAGTCATGCTTCCTGTACAGCCTATGAAACTGTGAGTCCATTAAGCCTCCTTTCTTTATAAATTACCAAGTCCCAGGTAGTTCTTTTTTCTTTTCTTTTTTTTTTTTGAGACGGAGTTTTACTCTGTCACTCAGGCTGGAGTGCAGTGGCGTGATCTTGGCTCACTGCAACCTCTGCCTCCCGGGTTCAAGCAATTCTCTGCCTCAGCCTCCCTAGTACAGGCACCCGCCACCATGCCTGGCTAATTGTTTTGTATTTTTAGTAGAGATGGAGTTTCACCATCTTGGCCAGGCTGATCTTGAACTCCTGACCTTGTGATCCACCCACCTTGGCCTCCCAAAGTGCTGGGATTACAGGTGTGAGCCACCACGCCTGGCCTCAGGTAGTTCTTTATAGCAATGTGTGACCGGACTCATACAGCAGGTTTGCTTGCAGCCTATTATAAAAGTTAGGACTTCCTAAGCTCAGGATTCCTCAGCTATGACACAAACCTACTGAGTGTGTGGCATGCACCTGGATCACTTCCACATCATCCCCACGGAAAATCAAGAATTCAACCCCTTTTACAATAGCTTCAAAAATAAAAATAAAAAACTTAGGAATATACCTAACAAAGGACATGAAAGACCTCTACAAGGAAAACTACAAAGCCCTGCTGAAAGAAATCATAGACAACACAAACAAATGGAAACACATCCCATGCTTATGGATGGGTAGAATCAATATTGTGAAAATGACCAGACTGCCAAAAGCAATCTACAAATTCAATGCAATTCCCATCAAAATACCACCATTGTTCTTCACAAAACTAGAAAAAACAATCCTAAAATTCATATGGAACCAGGTCAGGTGCGGTGGCTCACACCTGTAATCCCAGCACTTTGGGAGGCCGAGGCTGGCTGATCAACTGAGGTCAGGAGTTTGAGACCAGCCTGGCCAACATGGTGAAACCCCGTCTCTACTAAAAATACAAATAATTAGCTGGGCGTGGTGGCGAGCACCTGTAGTCCCAGGTACTCGGGAGGCTGAGGGAGGAGAATCACTTGAACCTGGGAGGTGGAGGTTGCAGTGAGCTGAGAACACACCATTGCACTCCAGCCTGGGCAATGAGAGCAAAACTCTGTCTCAAACAAAACAAAACAAAACAAACACAATGCAATACCACCTTATTCCTGCAAGAATGGCCATTATCAAAAAATAAAAAAATTAGAGATGTTGGCATGGACGTGGTGAAAAGGGAACACTTCTACACTGCTGGTGGGAATGTAAACTAGAACAACCACTATGGAAAACAGTGTGGAGCTAACTTAAAGAACTAAAAGCAGAATTATCATTTGATCCAGCAATCCCACTACTGGATATCTACCCAGAGGAAAAGAAGTCATTATTCAAAAAAGATACTTGCACACACGTTTATAGCAGCACAATTCACAATTGGAAAAATGTGGAACCAGCGCAAATGCCCATCAGTCAATGAGTGGATAAAAAAAACTGTGGTGTATATATATATATATGACAGAATACTGCATATGCAACAAGCTGGATGGAACTGTTGCCTATTATTATTCTAAGTGAAGTAACTCAGGAATGGAAAATCAAACATCATATGGTCTCACTCAGAAGTGGAAGCTAAGCTATGAAGATGCAAAGGTTCAAGAAGAATACAAAGGACTTTGGGGACATGGGGGAAAGGGTTGGAAAGGGGGTAAGAGATAAAAGACTACAAATTGGCTTCAGTGTATACTGCTCAGGTGATGGGGGCACCAAATCTCACAAATCACCACTGAAGAACTTACTCATGTAACTAACTCACGTAACCTAGTCCCCAAAAACCTATGGAAATAAAAAAAAAAGAAGAAACTTGAGACCCACGCAGAATTGTCTCCCAAAAGTCTTTTCAGACTTTTTCTAGTCCACATTTCCAGTTAAAATGGTTATAATCATGGTATGTATATAACTTCATCCCATAAGATGGGATGCCAGGCTCCTAGCTTTTCAATCTCTCCAGCTTGTGGACAGCTTATTGTGGGACTTTGCCTCTGTGATCCTAAGAACCAAGAAGGTTCTTTTACATTTAATTAAAGTGGTTTTCATGCTGTTCAAAGTTATCTATAACCATCATTTTAAAAGCCTTTATGGGCCAGGCACGGTGGCTCATGCCTGTAATCCCAGCACTTTGGGAGGCCAAGGTGGGCAGATCACGAGGTCAGGAGATCGATACCATCCTGGCTA